TAGGTGTTAATGTGTGTCCAGTGGTTTGTGTTACACTTCAGGAGAAACAATCTGCACTTATTTCACCATTTCTGTTTCTGTTAACGTGCATGGCATTTTATCCTTACCTTTCTTTGAATTTTCAAGGGCCTTTTTGTAATCAGTCCATAGAGTAGTATGCTCATTAATGAATTAACAAATAATTACTAAGCAGGTTCTGTGAAGCAAAGCAATGTTCTGGCCTTCTTCTGTACACTTCATGAGACTCTTTATTTGACACTTAGATGCTCAGTAAATATTTACTATTTTGCATTTTTCTTTTAAATTAGAGAATTGCTAACAAGCAAGCAGCAGCCCTAATGCACAATGAGATGTGGAGATGTAATTAAGCCCGTATAGCTACCAAGACAGTAAATATAGTTAAAACTATGACCTTTGGAGTTACTTGAAATTTACCTCTAATTCTAATATTCTTACTTAATATTTGGGTGGTCTGGGCTCAGTTTTTAACTTTTTGCTGCTTCACTTTTCTCAGTGTAAACTAGGAAGGAGAGGATTACTACAAAGTGGTCTTCTGATGAGTGAAGGAATTCATGTACAGTGCAGAGATTAAAACTATTTCTGGCAAATAGTAAGCACTAGGATTGCATTCAGCATTATTAGTGAATGCTATCACAGACCTTGTTTGAGACATAGACCCTGGCTTTAAATCTCTCTTCCCATTTATTAACTTTGTGGTATCAAGTAAATGACTTTAAAGCACAGTCTGATCCATATTCATCTTATTCTTTGTGTGTAGGTTTCATCATTCTTAGGATTTTCTTATAGTTTATGGAAATTTGCAAAATGTCCTCTTATTTGAAATTTTAATGGTAATCAGTGCCTCACTGTTGTTGTGAAGGATGAGTGTAATTTTACGTACATCATTTATGTAAAATTGGTCCAGTGGGGCTCAAATACATAAGACCAGAGAATAGAATTTTCCTAAGCCACTGTAGTAGGTACCTTGTGTCAATGCCACAGTGTAAAGGTGGCCTCTGCACTGTGAAAATGAGAAACTGCATTCCACGGCAGTCAGTAGGGCCAGGGGTGCCTGCAGGTTATCAGTGAAGCCATGCATGTCACCTTTATGACACAAATGTCCTCTTCATGAAACCGCATTATTGTGCCAGTCTGGGTCAGTTGGCAGCCTTAAATTCATATTCTTATATCCTTAGGGTAAATACATCTATATGTTTACAGGCAGTCTCCAAGTTACAAGCATCCAACTGATACACAACTCACACTG